GCCACATGAGTTGTACTACTGGGCTATAGCCCCGGCCCTGTGAACATGGATTTCAAGACAAACTTGATTACACGATAAAACTGGCCTTGCAAAGTACAGACCATCCAGAAGAATGAAAATTTCGGCGAGTTATCCAGATACGTGGCCTAACAGTTTTAAAAGGGTGCCTGAGAATGTATTGACCTAAATAGTCACTCTTGATATGGCTATTATAGGGCCAATGCACCCAGAGCCTATATTTACCTATCAGCGAGCCAAGCGTTAACTTATTTCTGTGGGTTCCTCTATTTTTCTCTTGGTCTCAGGGACTCCCCAATTGAAATTCTCTGTAGTTTCACAAAGGGAAAAGCCGGAAGTTTTTCCACCTTTGGCAAATGGAAGGTATGTGGGAGGCTCACATGAAAGAGGATACTTCACATGGGTCACGTCCCTCGCTTATTAAAAGATTTCTCAGCTAAACCATGGAAGCCAAGCAAATGTTATCTCAAGCAAAGATGGAGCGATGGCTGGGAGGCGAGAAAGACAAATGATAGGTGTTAGTGGCACTTCCTGTGAATTTCTATTGATTAACTTTCTAAAAGATAACAACTGGAAGGATGTGAAACGTGGCCTTATTCAGAGAAAATGGATTGCTTAACTCTTCTTCAAGTTGAGTGATGCATACAAGAGAGTACAAACAGTTCTGATAACCCAGTTGTCACAGATAATGCTCAGTATTTTCTTCAGCATTGATATTTTCCTTTTTGATCAAGTATCTCCGATGACAAGACTCATTCTGTCACAATTCTTGATTTTCTTAATTTTTCTTGTTTAAAAGTAAAGCGTTTTCAAAAGAATACAAGCACAATTTATAAAAATAACAAAAGTTACAACCCATTTGTCACTATGGAGTAGCAACTGTTACTTAAGGCTAAATTAGATGGGAAGCTTAATGAAAAGGTCTGGAAAGAGGTTTTAACTATAGATGATGCACGAGAGCAAAGCTAATCTTTGTAAATGATACAAATAGAGGGCACACATGTCCTCAGGCTAAAGAACTTCATATTATTAAGTGTATATTTCTGAGGAAATTTTTTCAAAGAAATCTAGTTTGACACTATTCCCTAGTCTCATCATTGCATTAGGTCAGTAACACAAGTACAGGTTAATTATAACCCAAGGTTACTAACCAAGGGGGAGTCGCTTCCTGGATTATATTACCCTTATTCTGTGTGCCAACATGTTTATTTTTTTCCTCTTCCTTCTTTCTCCCTCCTTCTCTTCTTTGTTTCCTTTCTTTCCTTGATAGTATATGTCAACAATAGGAGTTGCTTTGAAAGAAATAGATTTTTCAGAAGTAAAAATTAAAGACTTTGTAATAACAAATTACCTCTGTATTGCAATATATCTTATTACTTTGTTCAGCCCCCTAAGGTATTTAAAGTTAGCAAATTAAACAGAAAAATTCAGTTAACAGGGGCTGAGGTGTAGCTCAGTGGTACAGCACTTGCCTAGCATACATGAGGCATCTGCAGCAGCACACAAAATTTTTTTTTTCAGTTTTTTCTTTGGTGAAAAGTGCATTTGGTTAACTTTTAGACTCAGGCTTTGGATTATGCTAGTTGATAGAAGAGAACTTTCTTGGTTGTAGGACATCTTTCACAAAAGTATACGGCCATGAAGTAGTTAATGTGAACAAAATTCAATAAAAATTTCCACTAATTCAAAATACATAGGCCTGGGAAGATCCTCTTGAATTAAGTAAAACTAGATCAGCTGATTTTTCCCCCTTAACCAATAGAAGATGTATTCAGCATGGTTGCATTTTCTTTAAACAATTACTGTACACCAATGAAACCAATATTGCTGCTTGATACACAGTAGGTGCTTAAGTGTTCCTTAAATGAGTAAATGAATGAATGAACACATTCATAAATTTATTTATTGTGAATTAAAATTTCTTTTTAAATAAGAAACCATGTTAGAAGATATGCTACTTAAGTACTCAAGAATTGTTCATTTTTCACCATATTAACTCAAGAATGGAAAAGTCACTGAGGTAGTTTGTTGTCAAGTTTATATAAGAACCACATATTTGGGCTGTATTTTCTTTTTAAAATGATACAGTGTTTGTTTACACCAATTTAAAAATAAAGTTGAATAAATCAAAGACCAATTGCTTTTCCCTGGCTATTAAAAATATTGAATAAAAGGTAAGTATGTTTTTATGATTCTACTTAGTATCTCATGAGCTTTTGGGATGACAAATACACACTAGTTCTCCAGAATGGAGTAGGTTGCATGAGACCATGAATCTTTCCAGTCTGGTTCACATTTGCTACAGGGAAGTCTGTCACCATGCAACTTCGGTGTCTCAGCCAGGGTGGCATGCAACCCCATTTTCACTGCCCCTGTCACTAAAGCAGCCTTGACAAGAAACATGCTATTTCAGACATGAATTCCTTCTTGTATTGAGAGTTAGAGGGGGAAGGGAGGGGAAAAAAGAGAAGTACAGTAACATGCCAGTCTCCTAGGGGCTTTAAATTTATGGCCTTACTTAAGAGAATTAACAGGCACAACAGCCCTGCTAGTTGCCCTTCCCTTACCAAGGAAAACCTTGAGACTTTCAAGGTTAAATGCTTCAGGCAAGGCCATGCACCGGAAGTAGCAGGATCGAGATGCAAACCCCAATATATCTGACTCTAGAGCCTTCCTATGTCCATAATTTTGCATTGTGAAGAAATTTGATTCAGCATCTCATGTCCTGGAGCTGGGGCCCACTAAAATGTAGGCTCTTCAAAGCCAATAACTTGCCTTTTTCACCTTGCTCTATGCTTAACATACAATATCTCAAAACAAACATTGAAAGTATCAATGAATGAATAAATAAGGAGAAAACAGACTATCAGAGTTGGAGGGGACCTAATCCAACCATCTCATTTTTTTAATGGAGAAACCAAGGCCTAGTGAAATCAAGTCACTTTCATTACGTTAAGATATTAATTAGTGAAAGACTTGGATCTTGATTTCAGGTCTTTTTTGCATTCTTCTCCATACCGTCCCAGTACACGTACAAATGGTTTTCCAAGCATGCTCATCAACTCCAAGTGGTTTAATAAGCATTCCACTCTCTTCATTTAATTTCTTAATTGCAAGTGATTCCTCACACATGCAAGGCAATGAAGGTTAGCCCACAAAAAGGAAAATTCTGCGAGAACTGGGAGTATTGTCTGTTTTGTTCAGTTCAACATGCCTGGCACTTAGTGCTCAGTAAGTATTTGCTAAATAAATGAAATAATTTCCTTGTCGGTGGTGAGAAAATTCTTCAAAGATGATCATAGTTAGCATAGACTGTACTAATAGATCCTCAAATGATCAAATGTTTCAGTGAAATTGCTCAGTGAAATGGTATTACTCTTTCTCTATCCTTTCCTTTTAACTCCAACTTCTTCTGTAAAATGGGAAAAGATAACAGTATACATTTCATAGAATTTTTGCAAAGATAAAATAAATACATGCAAAGTCCTTTGCATGAAGCATAATACATAGTTAACTTGCAATACGTGACAGCTATTAGCATGAATATGATTTCTTCAAATAAAATTAAGGGATCACAAATGAGGAAAGAAATGCAAACACACGAAAAAGAGTTGTTTTCCATTTTCTCATATTAATCCCATTCCCTTCTATCCTTTCCCCTAGCCCTCCCACTTCCTTCCCCTTTGCCCCTTTTCTTCCTATTTCACATTATCTATTATACATTTTAGTCCTTGTTTACACTTTCAGTTTCTCACACCAGAGAAACTATTCGGTATTTATACATGTGTGTCCTGTTTATTTCACTTAAGAGTATTGCCTCAATGTGCATCCACTTAGCTATAAATGTCTCTAATTTCTCATTTTTTATGGCTGAGTAGTACTCCATTTTATAAAAAAGCCACATTTTCTTTATTCAGTCTCCAGTTGATGGGCATTTGGGCTGTTTCCAAGTTTTAGCTATCACAAACTGTGCCACTATGAACATGGGCGCACATATATCACTGTGGTATGATTCTTTTAATTCTTTGGGGAAGATCCCCAGCAGTGGAATAGTGGGGTCAAATGGGACTTCCAGTCCTAGATCTTTGAGGTATCTCCATGCTGATTTCTCTTTGTAAATAGGGAGGAATGGAGGGGTTGAAGGGAGGGCTGGGCAAGGGTGAAAAATAAGAACCAAGAAAGATTATGTAAAGGTGCAAATTTCCAATGATGAATGTCATTATATTGTATACCTAAAATGTACCAATGATTAGAATGAATAATCGATCATGTAAAATAGGAAGAAAAGGTCCAAAGGGGTAGGGGTAGTGGGAGGGGCAGGGGAAAGGAAAGAAGGGAAAGGAAAAATGCTGAGAAATGGAAAAAATGGAAATAAAGTCTTTGTAAATAGGGAAGGGTGGAGGGCTTGAAGGGAGGGCTAGGAATGGGGAAAAAATAAGAACCAAGATGCACTATGTAAAGGTACAATTCCCAATGAGAAATGTAATTGTGTTGTATACCTACAATGTACCAATAAAAGAATTTAAGAAAAAAAAAGAGTTGTTTTATGCTTTACACTTTGTAACATGTCCCTGGGTACATACTTTTTTATATGTTCAAAGTTCCTAACTTCTATAAGCGCTATACATCATACATAGCATCTGTCCCATCATACATGCTCACTTTTGTTTAAGGCACTGAGCATTAAGCCCACGGCCTTCGCACCGACCTACAAGCCCAGCCCTTTTCAGAATGTTAAAATTTTGTGACAAGGTCGAGCTAATTCACTAAGTTGCTCAGGCTGGGTTTCAACTTGCAATCCTCCTCCCTCAGCCTTCCAGGCTGCAGGGATTACAGGTGTACACCACCACACCAGGGTTTTACGTATGTTTTGTATAGAAGTTCTCTTGTGGAATTAATTGAGGTAGGTAATTAACCTTCAGACAAATATATGATGATGATTATACCTCAAATACTGCTATATTTAACTTTAAAATGGTTACCTCTCCACAAGTTCTTGTCCATTCCAGCACAGGGTGTCGTTTTCAGCCACAGGGCTATGGCTGCAGATGTAGCCAGGCAAAGCACTATAGAAGCTGATGAAAGATTTCAACTTCTGAATTAGTTCCCTGAAAGAAAAACAAAACATCGGCGTGTAAGAGGAGAGTAAACCCAGTATGAGAAAAGTTAAATTTCCTTATCAGCATGACAGAAAGGCTCTGCCATGCTGATTAGAGCAATAAATGATTTTTAAAGACATTCTTGGCTATGAGGCTACAAATTAGTTTTTTAAAAAAATCAATAAAATGATATTAGGGGAAAAATGTTGCCTGCCATATAAGGTGCTGTTCTTATCAGAAGGATGATTTAATTCCAACATCCATTTTCTAACATGTTCAGCAGCTTCTATTTTTTGTTCAAAATGATGTTATCTACATTCTCAAAGGTGCTGATTACAAGGCACACTGGAGCGCCACACATCTTTTGGTTTCTGAGTGTAATTGAGTGCATTGATTATAATTTACAACGCTATTACCCTGGAGATAGCCCCTTTCCATACAGGATCTGGCTAATGGTTGCAGATCAGAATCACAGGGTGCTCAGAACAGCATAAGCTCTATGAAATTTTTCTGATAATACAGTCAGAGAAACCCACATTGCTAGAGGAGGAAGGTTTCTTTGTTCTTTGTCTGTATACTGTGGTTCTTGTGAGGTGATGGGAAAGGAAAATGGTCTAATATATTTTATTATTTGTTTGCTGCTGTTTTTATACTGTTTATGATAAGACAAGCAGGAGAACATACTGTATATGAAAATGTGTATAAACACACACATAAATACTTGAAAAATTTCATGCCTATTATGTACATGGACACACAAGTGTACATATTATACAAAGTAAGATTCCACAGAGTAGAGGGAAGTGAGTATGTTTAGAGGAAATGCTTAAATATCTATGTAACAGATGTTCAGTGGTAAGCAAACAGAAATAAAATATAGTTTCCTTGCTAAGGCAGTGCTCCTGATAGAAAATTAAAGTATTCCTAACATCCAAGACTGTAAGTATACCCAGTTTTTGGAAATTCTGGTTAGAGAATTTTCTGGCAGTGGTGTAAATCCTTAAAAACTGTCTGCAACTGTATTCCTCTCATTTCCTCTTCCCCTCCTTCTCAACCCTCATCCTTGTTCCCTTGGACCACTTCCCTATTGGACACATACAGGATTCTAATAACTCCAGTCAATGTAAGCATTATATGGCATGACGTGAGCTAAGACAAATAATATCAATAGGAATGAAAAAGCTGATAGGAGGAGGTGGGGGGAGATTAGGAAAAAAACCTGTAATGTGCGATGTAACCACTCCTCAAGATGATTGTAAACTGTGTGAATTGCAAACATGTAATAATAAAATAAAATAAAAAATTTAAAAAATTGTCTGCAGGCTAAGAATGGACTGGCTTGATGTACAGGCCTTTGGAGGAGCCAGACACTTGATTCTCACATGGATATTATTCCAAGTCCTGAGCCCAGAAGTATCTTCTGGGGGTTGTTCCCAGATCTGGCAAAAAGGAAGACTAGTGGAAATGACCTTCTTGCACTTAATGCCATTTTCTAATTTTTTTTAACCACAAAATTATTCATTTCAACTAATGACTTGAGAAAGACCACGCATGAGAGAGAACAAGTAGGAACGCTAGGTCTAGCTCTCAGCACATGTTTACGAAAGCTCATTTCACAGACAGGGTGATGGACAGAACAACCCAAGAAAGGTTACTGGGACATACGTAAATCCTCGTGCAACAGTTACTTCCTGCCGTGCCCATCCTGCCCTCACAGCCTTCTCCTGGTGGAATAGGTCAACATTATGAAAGAGTTTCCCTTAGGCCTCCCCTTACCTTCACACCCACTCTCACTAACATAGCACATAGAGAGAAAAACTGAACCCACAATAAGGCATTCCAAATTAATTTCCCTAGAAGTTGAAAACGAAAGCACCCTGAATTCCTCCCTGCATCTCAACTCTTGCAGTTTTCTTAGTTGGTCATAAACAATCATTGACAAATTGAAGAAGGTCCCAATGAGGTTCGATCTGAATGTCAAGGAGATAAGGGATTGTGATAACCATACCCCCCTTCATTTTTTTGAGACAGGGTTTCTGCTATGTAGTTCAGGCTGATCTTCACCTCATTATGTAGCCCAGGCCAGCCTTGAACTTACAGCGATCCTCCACAGATGTGCACCACCACATCTGGCAAGACTTTCCACTTTAGTATGGAAGGAGACTACCTGGAATGATCAAGATAAATATCTAAGGAAACCACAAAGTATGTGGATGATGTAACATAGTCTGGGTCATCACATTCTAGAACTCAGGGAAACACTTTGAAATCTGAACATGGTAACTTGGAGAAGAAATAAAGGGTCATTCTACTTCAAAGAGTATTAGTTACCTCCAAAGGACATATAGGACGGACATACAAAACTGTAGTCTGAAAACTTACTTATGAATTAGTTATTTTGAATTTAGAACAAAGTTTCATTTAGCAGCCATATTATACTTATGGTTAGGTTCTCAGATCATCTCCTTCAAATCTGTGATAAATAGTAGCTAAGAACATTAATTCTTGAGTTCAACCCAGCTGAGTTTCCAAACCCAGTTACTCCTGTACTTACTCAGCAGTGAAACCTTAGGGCAATTCTAAATTTCTCTAAGCTTTGGTTTCTTTGTCAGTAACATGACGACAATGATTATACCTATCTTAGAAGGTTGCGGTCATGATTAAATGAGACAAGGCATAGATTCCCAGGCGGCATCCACACAAATAAGCACTGGGTCATTCTTTCACAATGGCAGTCATGGCCAATGCTACCATCATGGAGTGTGTAGAATACATATATATATATATATATATATATATATATATGAAATATAATATATATGAGAAATAGATATTATATTCCAGATATATATTATATTCCAGATAAATCTATGCATGCAGGATAATTTTTAAAAATTTAAGTTTCAGATAACTTTGTATTAACAAATTAAAATCCCTCCTCTTTTGAGATGGGTACTAGTAGGTACAACTATTTCTTTTTCCAACAGATTTTCCCTGGTATTCTTTTTTCAAAGACTAGCTAGCTGAAATACACACATGTGCGGGCATGCACACACACACACACACATACACACACACACACACCCTCAGAAAAACGAGCTAGATACTGGGCTGAGTAAACCTCTTGACTAATACTGTACAGCAGTTGAATGGTTTTCCTTTTTCTGAGCCTCGTAGGAAAGTGGTGGTGGTTTTCCCACAAAGATTTATGTCTAAGAATATATGCATCAGATGGGAAGGGCCAAAACGAAGTCAAGTTTAAAAAGACAATCATCAGAGAAATGCAAATAAAAACTACAGTGAGATAGCACTTTACACTCATTAGGGTGGTTACAATGAAAAAGACAGACTACAACAAGTGCTGGTAAGGATGTGCAGAAATTGGAACTCTCACACATTGCTGGGTGGGAATGCAAAATGGTGCAGCCACTGTGGAAAACAACTTGGCAGTTCCTCATGAAGTTAAGCATCGAGTTACCAGATGACCCAGCAATTCCACTCCTAGGTATATATACCCAAAAGGATTGAAAGTAGGTACTGAGACAAGACATATTCATAGCAGCTCTACTGACAACAGCCAAAAGGTGAAATAAGACAAATGCCCACCCACTGATAAATAAATAAAATGTGGTATATACACTCAGTTGAATAATATTCAGACTTCAAAAGGAAAGAAATTATGGCAGCATGGATAAATGTTGAAAATATCACATATACTAAGTGAAAGAAGCCAGTCATGAAAGACTATGTATTATATGATTCCATTTATATGAAATGTCTAGAATAGACAAATTTGTGGAAACATAAAGTAGACTCACAGTTGCTCAGGGGTGGGGAAAATAATAAGATAGAAGAAACAGCTAAAGGGCACAGATTTCTTCTTGAGATGATGAAAATTTTCTAAAATTGTGGTGCTGCACACCTGTGATCCTAGCTACAGGAGAGGCTGAGGCAGGAGAATTACAAGTTTGAGCCCAGCTTGGGCAGTTTAGCAAGATCCTGTCCTAAAAACAAATAAAAGGGTTGGGGATGTAGCTCAGTATTGCAAAAGAATTGTGATGTTGGTTGTGTGAGAATATACTAAAATCAAATGAATTATACATTTTAAGTGGATGAATTATATGGTATGTGGATTATATCTCAATAAAGCTATTACTCCCACCCTTCCAAACACAGGGTAGAGAACAAAATGAGAAATATGTCTCAGAGAAAGAGAGGCTTGTCTAGTTGAGGGCTGCACCTTGGAAGAATGGAAGGAGACAGGAGAGCTTGGGAAAGCAGAGTTGGATGGATATAAACACACAGGTGAGTGACGAGAAGAGAAATTTGTAAGCTGAAACTTCAGCACCATAATAGCTGTAAAAAGTGGTTAAAATCTATTTCTTCATCTTTAAAAAAGTCTTTTGATTTTCTTTTTTATTGTAAAAAATATATGTTCTTAAAAAATAAAGAAAGATGGAAGGAAAAAGGAACATTTGTAGTCCCACCAATCAGGGTTAATCACTATTAGTATTTGGTTATATTTCCTTCTAGACTTTTCTCTTGAGTAAACTTTTACATTTATTTCTTTGAATCCTTTTCTTGACAGATTTGTTCACTGAGTTCTCTCTGCTTCTCAGTGTAAATTATCTCCATTACCAGCTACCTAGAATTAAGATGGATTTGATTAGAAAGGAATCTCACAATAATGAGAGAGGGACAGGGCATGACACAGTGCTAGAGGGCTTATCTAGCATGTAGGAGGCCCTGGGTTAGAGCCCCAGTATGGAGGGAGGAAAAGGGGCTGCTTCTCAAGTAATTCCCAGCCTTGTGGGACAAAGCAGTATCTTCCTCTGGAGAACAAAGAACAGGGCTCCCGCACAGCCAGTGAACTGGCCAAGACCTCAGAGTCCCAAAGGATAGTGTTACAGTGCAGGCCATTCCTTTATGCAAGACCTTCTGCATTACTGTAGGAAAATAAACCTTAGTTTCCAAAAGAAACTCTTAACTCTTCAAAATAAATCCAGACA